CACTTACAATTTAACTGGGACCATACATACATATAGAAAGTCTAGATCCCAAACCTCAAGAAAGACTTCAAAATCCAACCTAATTCAAAATAAGGAGTCGCTTATTGTGTGCTTGCTCAAAGTGACTGAGCAGACTGCTGTGTAACCAGAGTTTGGAGTGAACACGGCAACCTCATATAAAACAGAAATCTAGTCCAAATATATTTCTCTAAAGCTCCATGGCATTTCAATATAGCCCAGATCCTCACACAGCTTATACAACATAATTATCATTTGTCTGGTTAGATGAGACTTTCCACTGAAAAAACATTCAGCATCCAGGTAAAGATAAACCAGTCACCAGACTCCAGGGAGGAAAACTGGCCAACAGCTGCTGCCTGACCGTCCTTGTCAGCCACTGGTTGACTCTCTTTCCCGGGGTCTTGGTGTTCCTTTATAACCACAAACTGCAGAAAACAAAAGGGAGAGAAAGGATGTTACTATATAATTCACAAATTGCCTCCACATACATTAAATCAAAGTCTAGGGCTTCATCATGTTCATCCTGGAAGGTGAAAGTTGAAGGAAAGGCTCTGTCACGTTATCTCTCTGGCTAAAGAAAAATTCTATTTTCATTTAAGAACTTTACGTTACTTTCTATCAAAGAAAGTAGGTGCTTCCAATACCATTATGGAAGAGTCTATTCTAATTCTAGAACCCTAACTTTTGTGTTACTGGGGGCCACCATTCTATGATGACCAATACAAGAATCCATAAGTATGGGCAGCACCTGTGCAAAGGAGTAGGGCACCGGCCCCATATGCCAGAGGTGATGGGTTCAAACCCAGCCCTGGCCAAAAACTGAAAGAAAAAAAAAAAAGGTATCTCAGACGTGTATGTGCTACAACTTTTCATATGTGTATATGTTTTCATAAAATTCTTGGAAATGTGCCACCAAGTTCTGAGTCATGTGGAGTCATTAATAAGTAATCATAACTAATAGTGTAACAACTATTTTGCAAGTATCTACCAAATGCTTTCTCAGAGTTGAACAGCTTAGGAACCAGAAAACAAGGGAGGCTCAGAAAACATTTCCCTCAGTCAACACAGTGATTACTTTTGTCATTATTTGTATTGTCCCAATCGAGGGACATGCTTCTGCAGGCTGACCAGAGTTCACTGGCTTGGGCTCACACTAGATGGATTAGATATTAAAATAGAGCAATGATAAAAGGAAAGAAAAGAAGTGACCCTGTGCTCCAGGACAAAGGACGCAGCTTGGTGAAGCCCTTCCTTGTCAATCAGTAACCCGGCAGGCCTGCCCACGCTTTCGGGTGACTGGGCTCCATGGCTTCAGAAATGGGCCCTCCACACAGGAAGGCGCCCACCACTCGGAAACGACAGGAGGGAAGGGGACAGAAAAAATCTCTTTGCCCGTGGTTTTCTTTGAGAAAAGTGTAAGAAAGGACGATGAGTGGAGTCAAGTGAGGGAGGACAGAGGGACATTGGTGAGGAAAGGGTGAATTCCACCAACATGTGTTTTCATTTTGTTATTTTCCACAACACTCATCTCCCTTCATCTCCCCCTCGTCAGGGGTCTCCCTGCAGCTGAGCATTGCAGAATTAACACGGGCCCCCTGTTCAAGGGCACATGCTCATTACGTGTGGCTCAAATCAAAAGCCAGCCCTCTGCACTGCAGAGTTTCCAAGAACATTCTGGGCTGAGAGGGGAAGGCAGCTGATGGAACCAGATTTGTTTCCGTCGCTGCCTCTCCTAGTTTGGGTGCTCAGCTCTCTCCCGTTCCCGCTGGTATCTGCAGCCGCAGCTGGTGTCGGTCGTTATGACGGCTGCGGGACTAAGCCCAGCAGCCCCAGGCCTCCTCACACAGCCCTGAGCCAACAAGCTGCTCATGACAGCAGCAAAAAAGCGGTTTTATTTTTTATTAAAAAAATAAAATAAAGCAGATACACACGGGTTGTGTTTCTCCTCTTTCCCTTGATTTAAGAGTGATGAATTAAACTTGCTACCCCAAATCTAAATGAAGCACCACATAGACCAACAAGTGAGACCCGGGTCATTCAGAAGCCCACGGCATCATGAGGCCTCAGAACACTGAGCATATTCTGGAGCTAAGTCCTCCTAGGAGCACACACTTAGGAAACTGACAGGGACATGGGGAAATCCAAGACCGTCTAATCTGAACCTCTGGGTGTACTGAAGGGGAGGCAGAGGTCTGCAGAGGTTAAACAACTTGGTGAAGATGAGACAGCCAATGAGTGGGAAGGTAAGACTAGAACTCAGATTTGGTATTTTACTTCCATAGTCAAGTTCAACCAAAAAATAAGGAAACACTGAATGTCTATTACAGGTAGGGACAGATAATCACCTGTTAGTCAAAAGCACAGGTAAGGAAAACGGTTGCCTGGGAAGGCATAGTGATGTGGGAAGGACCCTAGACAATGCCTTTGCCTCTCCAGAACCTCTCCCTCATAGCTCTTCCATAAGGCTTCAGTCCTCCACGGACCTGCCATATAGTCCAGGCTCTTTTACACTATACACCACAAATAATACCAAGAGCGCACACTGAATCAGTCCAGTTAACTGACAGGTTTCTGGAAGTGGAGTTCCCATAATAGGTTCTAGAAAGCTTGGCAGGGCCTGTCCCAAGTCTGCCCTCTTGTGCTCTGAGATCAGTCACTAAAGTGGGTCATCTTTGAAGCATCTGAACTTCCCTATCCACTATGCTTTCTGGAAAACATCTAGGTTTGTCAGATACAATAGTGGATAGCCAGTTAAATGAGAACGTAAACTTTTATTATAAGCATGAATTTAACCAGGTGCCTTGTATGTTTTCTTGCTGAATCTGGTAGCTATTTTGCTACTGAAGTGCAGGGACTTAAAATGTACATGAGAAAAGTAATACTAGGAAAATTAGCAGCGTAAGCTTGGGCTTTTAAGAGATCCACCCAAAAGGTACCAACTAAAAATTGGGAAAGATTCTTCACACAACACAACACATAAAAATCTAAGATATTGGGCTCAGCGCCTGTGGCTCAAGTGGCTAAAGGCACCAGCCACGTACACCCAAGGTGGCGGGTTCGAATCCAGCCTGGGCCTGCCAAACAACAATGACGGCTGCAACCAAAAAATAGCCGGGCGTTGTGGCGGGCGCCTGTGGTCCCAGCTACTTGGGAGGCAGAGGCAGAAGAATCACTTGAGCCCAGGAGTTGGAGGTTGCTGTGAGCTGAGATGCCACGGCACTCTACCCAGGGGGACAGCTTGAGGCTCCTGTCTCAAAAAAAAAAAAAATCTAAGATATAGAAAGAATCTATAATAGAAAACAATTCCACATTTTTTTGTGCCTTCATTTTATACCATGAACACATCTGATTCCCTTCGTTTGAGGCACAGCTGCCTGTCCCTCCCACCCAGGACCTCCCTAGCTGATGTGCTGACCAACAACAGTGGCCAGAAGCTATAACAGATGACAGCCATTCTGAACTTGGTACAAATGAGAAAAAAATAAACGGGGCTTAATGACATGCCAGTTCCTTGCTCCATCTGCTTTGGTTGCCATTACCCAAGGTTGGGGGCAAGAAGACATCCCATCCTCGCTGGTGGCAGGCCTGCTGCCACGCACACCACCGCTCACGTCTCCGCTTGGATCTTGATATGGGTTCTTCAGAGTTTTCAATAGCAGCTTCTGAGTCCTGTGATAAAGCCAAAATGTGAGACAACCTCAAAATAAACAAAACAAAACACTTGGCCTACTCAGCAACGGTCAAGAACAACTATTTTTGCTACTGAAATTTACTATAATGGCAGTAAAGAAATGTGAAGATCACTAGGAACAAAACTTGGGGTGTTCAAGGCCTTCTTTTCTGCAGAACTCTTTCCAAGGTTCTGTGAGGTAGGGGTGTGTGAGCACCCATGGGCACACTGGGAGGGAGAGCCATGCGTTCATTCACTCACTGATGCCCACTGAGTACTAACCATATCCTCAACACTGTCCTGGTACTGGGGACATAGCCCTGGAAAAGCAACAACAAAGTTTCTACCTTAGTAGCCATACAAATCTGCGGGGGCAGTAGTGGGGCTGTCTATGGAATTATGTTCCAGCAGCCGCGAGGGAGGCTACATCAGCTCTGTGTACAGGTGCAGCCGGCAGGGCTCAGGAGCAGGCAGAGATGCCACCAAGGCGCAGCAGCTACGGAGGGCAGCACAGGAAGGGGGTCACCATGACACAAAACTCTGGCTCCCTCCACTCCCCACTGTGGTCTCTCCTACCCACAAAGGAATTAGAGGCAAAATAGAAGGAGGGGAAGACCCAAGTTAATACCGTCTCCTGCTACAAAGCCAGGACACAGACTAGGTCTTTTGCTTCCAAATCCAGTTTTTTTTAATAGAATAGACTGTTTTGTTTGACAAGCATTCAGCACTAAGTCTATGCAAGGCACTGTGCCCACAGTGCGGATGTAGATCTAGTATTAATCACAATCCAATGTGTGTCAGGGGATGTGTGTCGGGGCTGATCCCACTGTTTTTTTGTTGTTGTTGTTGTTGTTTGTTTGTTTTGTTTTTGTATATTTGTTTATACGAGACAACAGAAATACTAAAACAAAACATGGTGGGGGAATCAGTCACAGATCCCCCCACTGGTATGGTACTGTCCTCAAAGTTAAGGTAGGCTCTGTCCTCAAAGTAGCAGCCTCTGGAGGAGAGCTAGGTACCTAACCCACCGTATGGGCACCCAAGGAGGGAAAACAGGAAGGCCATGTACAGCCAGGACCACCAGCCAAGCTCAAGATTCCACAACAGTGCTGCAGTTATGGGTCAGTTTAACTACCTCCAGGGGCACAGCCATCTGTCAAAAACCCTACCTACCTGGACGTGTGGGAAGAGCGAAAAAGAAGGACAGGGCTGTGGGAAAAGGCGCCTGCCATGAGCTGAGAATCTGATGTCATGGATCGCGTGGGTTATTACAGGTTTTAATCAAAGTCTTCAAGGAAAAAAATTGAGCAAGTGGCTAAACAGTTGCAAAAAGTTACAGAGTTATGGTTGGTGATGGAATACTTCCTGTTGATTTTTTTATAAAAGGTGGAGGTCTTCCCAAGACAGCAAGTTTTATGAAGTAATAACGTGAGGATACTTTTAAAAATTTACTTAGTTTTACAAACAAAAATCTTTTGAGAGGTGCAGAAGACAAACAATGTCAAATAATATTTAGACAAGCTAGGCAAGGAATAGTGCCAGGGAAGAAATAACTGATTTTAACTCTTTAAGGAAAGCTATTTAATATTCCTGACTTAAAAACTCAATGCTAGAGCTACATTTTTTGGCTTATTTGAGTGACATGGCAGTATATAGACTAGCAATTTTAATTTGATCTTGTCAGAATCTATCTATAGTACAAAATACAGTCATACACATAGCTAACTCTTTAATTACATTAACAATCTCACAAGAACCCTTGCAATAAATGCTATTCTTGTCTCTATTTTACACCAAAGGAAATTAATGAATACAGAGGCCAGGAAACATACTTGATGTTATTTAGATACTAACTGGGATTTGAACCGGTGTGCTCTAATTCCAGAGCCCACGCTCTTAACCACTACACTAGGATATAGCAGGATCGCAGACAAGTGCATCTTGGCTGACGTGTTGAATTTTCCAGAATACAAGGCAGTTGTCACTTGAGTGGTTGTGTAGTACCAGTAAACGTGCTTAAATTTTTATCTCCAGATGGTGGCGGATATTTCGTACAATCCCAGAGCATTGGGACCTGTTAATTACGTGTGCCTTAGGTTCTTCAGCCATGAAATAGATAATTCCACAAAGTATCTTCCGCCCAAACGTTTCATGACTCACTGATTTTGCACAACGTGAACCATAACGGTACATAAAATATTTTCCAATATTGGTGATAGTGGAGGATGCCATCCTACCTTTTAAGAAAATGGAAAATGAACAGTGTGGTACCTTCACGCTAACGTAGTATTTTTTTTTTTAACGGACTGTATAAATGCTATTGTCCCACAGTTTCCAACTGTTAACTTGAAATTATTGAAAACACAAAATCCAAAGGCCAGATACTTCCTTCCAGGAAGATATGGATTAATTAAAAAAAAAAAAAAAAAGCTAGTGGGAAATCAACTTGATGGAAGGCAGCCGTGAAAAATTCGAGTTCTGCAGGCTGTGGTGGTGGGAGGAAGCTGTGACGCTGCAGGAAGAAAGTGGAATGCAAAAAATGAGCCCGTGGAATAAGAAGCACAGCCGGTGTGCAGGTGTGTGGGCAAAGACCGCAAGGAACGGGAGGAGCTCTGCCGTCCCAGGGAGGTGACAGCCCGGGCCACTTTTAAAAAAACGTTTATTCCACTTTTTAAATGTAGTAAGTGTGTACATGTTCATCTCAAGGAGGCAGGGGACTCCCCACCCCCACCCCAGGAGAGCTTAGAAAGAGGTTTAAGAGAAAGAAAGGGTCACCTGTAGTAATGGGCCCCCCACAGCCCCAGGAGGAGCAGCAGGACCAGAGCCACCACACAGACAGCCACCACGGTGACATTCCGCTGCTGTCCCAGGCCAGCGTGGCGCAGTTCCCACCACTTCAGGTCTCGGTGCTGACATCGCTCCCCGACGAAACCCACAACGCAGCTGTGACAACACACAAACAGAGGTCATCAGAGATGCCTGGCCAAAATCCCTGCCGCTTCTCAGCCTCCATCTGCAGCCGTCTCTCAACCTCTGCACTTCTAGACTCAGCTCTTTGGAAGCATATAGAAAATCCATCAGGGGTCAGCTGAAAGCACAAGGGTTTCAAGTTAATGCCGCACGAACTTCCCCTTTTAGTCTGTTTGCCCTGGGATTGACGGGGGATTATTTGCATACTGCCTCTATAAAGCGCTGCAGACCATTGATTAAAAATCAATTTCTGTTAGGCCAAAATCCTGAGGAGCCACCTTTTAAAACCAACACAAAGAAAGCAGTTCTACCCTAAGAGCCAAGGGAATTTTGGAAACAAATGTTTGGCCAGATTGCAAGGAGTACAGGTCAATGGAAAGAAGAATCTGAAAGCAGAGTCCCTCAGTTCAAACACAGTTATCAAAGAAGAATGTCCATAGTTCCTGGATAGGACACACAACCTACCTAGTCTGAGGAGCAAACGTATTTCCCTTTTCTTGTTTTTAAATCACTATTGGCCCAAGGGAAAAGGTCTCACTGGTGACACACATGCAAATATTTGCCCATTTTCTTCAAGGCCAGGGAACTATGTGGAGGAAACAGAACATTCACCCAGAAACACCCTACTGCCTCATTCCTGAAACTGTCACTAGAATTACCAGTGACCACTCCACTAAGGTATGGAACTTATCCACAGGGAACCTTTTTAGAGTAAATGAAACAATACTGCCATCTGCTGGGAGTGTGCATTTCCTGAAACTATCGGCTCTTGGGTAAACATTTTTATTTTATTATTCTTTAAAATACAAACATTTGCATTTTGCTATTGTTTAAAAACATCCTACTGAACATTTTGTGATGCCCACTTATTAGGAATTCCTTCCCCTTAGCCCTATATATATCCCTACAGGTCTCCACATCACTCCAAAAGGACTTGAGTAAATGAACACACAGAGAACTGATCCCAGGCCTCAAGGTGAGAAGAGGCAGCATGGACCAACATTCCATAAGGCTCGGGAAGGTCCGGATCAGTCCTGCTTCCACCTCTAGCTGATCTCAGGAGGTTGGCAAGTCACTTCCAGAAGGATGGAAAGGAGATAGCATTTGTTAAGCACCTGTGTGTTTGACACTGTGTGAGGCGCTTTTACTTGGTTATTTTTTTATGGCATATTCCTTTTATTTTATTTTACTCTATTCTATTCTGCTTTATTTTATTTTGCCAAGTCTCACTCTGTCTCCTTGGGTTAAGTATCAGGGCATCATAGCTCACATCAACCTTAAATTCTTGCACTCAAGCGAACCTCTTGCCTCAGCCTCCCGAGTAGCTGAGATCACAGGTGCCCACCACAATGTCCACATAGTTTTTCTCTTTGGGGCAGATATAGGGGTCTCACTCTTGCTCAGGCTGGTATCAAACTCCTGACTGAAGCAATCCATTCACCTCTGCCTCCCAGAGTGCTAGGATTATAGGCGTGAGCCATCATGCCCAGCTCACATTCCTATCTTACAGATGAGGAAACTGAGGTTCGAGGAGTTACTACAAAGTCACATAGCTAATGAGTGATAGGTTTGATTCAAATAGTTCTATGATTTCAAAGCTTATATTCTTTCTACTACATCATTCTGCTCCCAGAAAGAGTTTTATTCTCTATTTACTTCTGAAAAGCCATCCCTCTAGAACTGAGAAGAGATGTCAGGATCTGAGTATAAAAGCATAAAGGAGCATCATTACTCCAAAACTCCCTGGATGCTGTTTTATTTCTATCGATCTCTGGTTATAGTCACTTAACTCCTAATACCTAGCAGCCATTTTTAAACTGCTGGATGTTAATGTGCCACGCCTCTGATCCTCTCAGAGATTTGGGGGTCTTGAAGAATATGTTAATCACATGGCCAGGAGTCCTGTGACCAGCCAAGTCTGGCTGTTATAGCAGAGTCCCCCTGAGCCTTATAGGACCCAGAATAATCAGTCAGCCTTTTACTAAGCAGAGGCCAAGGGAGAGAGGTATCACTAGTATTTTGGCTTCTTCTGATAAACCAAACAAACAATTCCCTGGTCAAAGAAGTTTGCATTTCCATAGTCAAATAATTTCAAGACATTCTGGATTAAATAAAGGTAAATAAGGAATTTTAATGCGTTATGGTATATCATGAATTAAGACCTGAGGGCTAAAGTATAACACATTTCTCAAAGTACCTTGACTACACAATCTGTTGTTTTTGTTTGTTTGTTTGTCTACCTCAAAATAAATAAATACATACATAAATAAATAAAATTAAGACAACCTAATGAAATGGATTTTGGCTCAAAGCCAGATCAGAATGAATGAAGACTTCCTTTGAGTTCAGGAGGTTTGGAGCCTCCTGAGAATCTCCAATCCAGGAAAACATTCCATGATGATGATGATGATGATGATGATGATGATGATGGGCTTTCACCCTGCTGCCCAGGCTGGAGTGCAGTGGCGTCATCACAGCTCTCTGCAACCTCAAAGTCTGAACCCCAGATATCCTCCTGGCTTAGGCTCTTGAGTAAATGGGACTACACATGTTCACTACCACGTCTGGCTCATTCTTTTATTTTTGAATAATTTTAAAATTTTTTGTAGGGATAGAGTCTCACTATGTTGCCAGGTTGGTCTTGAATTCCTGGCCTCAAGCAATCCTCCTGCCTAAGACTCCCAAAGTGCTGGGATTCCAGGTGTGAGCCTTCACACCTGGTTCCAAAGCAGGAAACCTTTGAGGACTACCTCAGGCCTTGAGACTTCCAGTCTCACATCCTCTGCATCCCTGGGTTCATCCAGATCCATAGATCTGAGAGAAACTTCCACCTACCGTCAAGCAAAGAAGGAAGAACTGGTCCTATAGAAACCTGCTTGCACCATGAAGAACATTCTGCACAGAATGACACTTGCCTGTCGTTCCCTATAGACTTTTTATTATGGAATTAATCAAACATAAAGTGAGTTCATCAGGGCAGACGGAGGGAAGGGTTGAAACCTTGGTTAAACCACATTTTTATTAAAAAATACAATTCAAAAACAAAGTTATGATCCAGATTACTGTGAACTATGGTGATAGTTTAAATATTGCTTTAGAGCGGTGCCTGTGACTCAAAGGAGTAGGGCGCTGGCCCCATATGCCAGAGGTGGTGGGTTCAAACCCAGCCCTGGCCCCCCCCAAGAAAAACTGCAAAAAACAACAACAAAAAATATATTGCTTTAGATTAAAGGTCCTTAAATTTGGGTGTTATTCTCCAGTTTGTTATTTTGTAGCAACTCATCTTTAAAGCATTATCAGGGAAACATGATATTTTCATCAGGATTTAATGACCAAAGGAAAAGCAGTGGGCTAAAGAGTTCATCCATCATCGAATGAATGGGCACTATCAGAGCCAAATGAAAATATTGTACTAAACGCATCATGTAACCCTGCAGTGCCCTTTATATTATTATCATGATTCTTATAATCTACGGTTAAATTATCACAGAGGAAATTAACCATGACCTGATAAACGAGGACATTTGTTTTTGTAATTTCATTTCTGGGGATGACTAGAAACAACCAACAGGCAGAAACTATTTTGTTCTCAATATTGAAATCGAAGATAACTCCTGTAAGTATCTGATTTATCTTAGGTTATAAAATTACAGCATGTAAATATGAACATGAAAACAGAATTCCATTAGAACTGAGTCATTTTTACTAATGTTTTTGTCACAGTGACATGATTTGTGCCTTATCATGGAATACAGCCTATTCTTTGAGTTATTCAGACTCTATCTCTGCTCATTATTACCACTACGATCATAAAAGCCTGTAACCTCATAAATTTGTGAGGATCAGAATACCTCCTGCAGGTACAGAGGAAATTATCAATGAGTTAGGAGTCTAACCCTGCAAGATCTATTTGGTTTTCATTACCTATCAATTTCTCCCTATCATCTTGAAGATATGAAATGAATTAAAAGTAACATTTGATGAAGAACATGCCATTGTGAGTCTGTGTCTTGTTAACAGCTCCATGGGAAAGACTTTCCACATGAGCACGGTGGGAATGCCTCACACTTCCAGGGTTTCTGCAAAGCTCCTGTCCAAGTTGACACTTTTCCCCACTGCCAACCCCCCCTGGGGGCACAAAGGGAGGACCAAGCAGCAATTGCAGCATGCAGCAATTATTACTAAACAATAAAAATATAAAACTATTAGGAAGTGAAGAAAAAGTATACACATATTTAGTTTCAAAGGAAAAAAACCATTTGTAGATGCTGGCAAGAAATCTGGTGTGAATACGTACATCACTTTGGTAAATCCAGAAATACCCATGGCTGCTCACACATAGTTGGCAGAAAATAAATTGATATTTAGGGAATTCTCTCACAGATCTAAGTTTTCCAACCAGAATGAGAAACTGAATTCCTAGACTATACCAGTAGTAACATCAAATAATTTAAGCAAAAGGAAAACTCACCAATGCCTTAGATTCATGCTTACCACTGGTGGTAGCTGGTGGGTGGTGGTGGGGTAGGGTGTGATATACCAGCAGGGGGCAGTGAAGTGCACACACATAATTATATGTGTGTGAATATATTTTTTTTTTCCAAGAAAAAAAAACAAATTGCAGATGAATGTCCTCAGTATAAATCTCACACGTTAGCTAAAAGTTATAGCCCACAGGCGCCTATCTTGATGCCATCAGAAAACAGTTTGACTTACTTGCATGCATAGGTGTCCACTGTTTCAACATACATGCAGGCACCCCCGTGGAGGCAGTACCCATCGTGAGAGGGGGGACATCCCGGGTAGCTGTTTCTGACAGCATGGTGGCCATCTTCCCTGAGGTGAGAGGGTGGAGTTGAGTCTAGAAGAATCCAAGACATTACTTTTATTTTCTGAAGTGATGAGGGTCTTTCAGGTATGAATATCAGGAACTAATTTCTGTGAACCATTTATAACATCTTTTAGTGACAGTAGAACAACTACCAGGTTCCTTTTCTTAGCCAAACTGTAAGTCAGTCTTTCTTAGGCTCAGTATTATCTGATATAAAGCATACGGGAGGCCGGTAAGAGAAGGGCTAATCCCAAATCATCATATGATTCAGAGTCATCAAACTCATTATAAAAACAGATCTGTCATCACACACTAACCAGTGAAATGACAGCTAGCTTTAGGTCTTGCTGAACAGCTGGTATCTCTATGGCTTCAAAACTCCCCACCAATACACAGTCTAATACTGCCATATTCTGGGAGTCTCAACAATTTCTCCCACACAATGCTTCTTCTAAAAACTATTTAACTTTCGGGGGGCCCTCAAAGACAAGACTGTAGCAGCCTTGACAGAGAGGAAATATTCCCACAACAGAGGGAATGCTGAAGTCTCTTACGGTTCACTGCTCCTTAAAAGGGAAACACCAGGGTGTGTAGATGACTCTATAATGTTAGCAGTTTTTCATTTTCTTTTAGAAGAGCAAACAATCTGAGCAAAATAATGTGCCAAAAAGAGAGAGACCAAGCAAATAAAGAATTTTTCTTTCTTAGGATGTTTTCTGTTTGCAGAGCTAAGAGGCAAACAGGGGCCGTGATGGGAAACAGCCCAATCCTGGTCACCAGGGTCTAGGTGAGGCCAGCTTCCCTCCTGGGGTGCTGACGGTGAGATAATACTGCTGTCAGGGGAGAAGGTTCAGGAAACAGGAGTTAACCACTATGAACCTTTATAAAGGAAGAGAAGAGAGCTGGAGTTCTAATTCAGATGAAGAAATACTGACTTCTCAATGTTTTAAAATCTTTGAAAGTGATTTAAAATGCTGAGTCCCAGACCTCCTCACTGACCTGCCTAGCTCTGCACAATTTATCCAGCAGCCCCAGAAAATTAACGTTAGAAATTAGGAGATGAGTTGCATCATTAAAAAGAAACACTTGTATTCCTACCTTTATTGAATTGTGAATGATAAAAGAGGATTTATTCTAGATGCTATTAAATTAAGAAAACTTGGACCGTTTCAAATTCTCAAGCCCAGTGTTATCTAACCAGGAAAGACAGCTCTCCAGTCTGATTGAACTAAACAACTTTTAGACTCTCTAACAAACACAGTCGGGTACAGAATTTCCCTGAACCAGCCGGTTCCCCTTCCATGCAGACCGCCCACCACCTACCAGGGCAAATCAGTCCGGGTGCAGACAGGCGGCCGGCACATGTGCAGGAGTAGCCCCCCTCTGTATTTGTACAGTTGGCGTTCTGGCCACAGCTGTGCACCCCCAGGCGGCACTCATCAATATCTGTTAGGAGCGTCAGAGTCGGGAGAAGTGGGTGCAGAGGAAGGAAGAGCGTTATACGGTTGGAAAGTCCAACATTCTGGAAGGGGAGCATCTTCGACCTCTGTCACGGTACCTGTCCTCAGAGCCCTGTGCATTTTCTTAGGTTTAAAGTGACTATCGTGAAAGTTGGAAAGAGAGGTGAACAGAGGCCTTGCTGCATGCCCATGCAGGTGTTCTAAGCTTCCGACAGAAGGCTGGAAGTTTCCCTCCTACTTGGAAGGAAATAAACTTCCCAAAGTTGGAGACTGGTAAGCTACCTCCAGGCAAACATTTCTTTTTCAAATAGGCACCCAGCATTTACATACATGTTATATCAAATATAAGAGGTTTTTTTTTTTTTTGGATATAAATACGAATTATCATCCTTTCTTTCCCAACTACCTTTTTCTTTTTCAACTAATACCACTCTACCATTTATGTTTTTTCTTCCTCCTGATTTTACAGTAATTACGACCAGAAGAACAGGCTTACTGCATTCCTGGATCCCAGTTTCCTCTACTCCAGAGCCAGAGCCAGAGCCAGATAATTTTCCCTAACCCACAATGACAATAAATCCATCATTGCACCAATTTACTCAGCGGCGCCCTTGGCTCCCTGTTGCCTTGGGCTGTGCTGTCCAATATGGCAGCCATCGCCAGCTGTGAGTTGAGTTTTGAGCACCTGAAGTGTATCTAGTCCGTCCTGCGATGTGCTGTAAGTGTAAAACACACACCAAATTTTAGAGACTTGATGCCCCCCAAATATAAAAATCTCAAGTTTTTATATTGATTATATATTAAAATGTTAAGTGTTTTGGATATACTCAAACAAATAAAAAATATGATTAAAATTAATTTCACCTGTTTTCCTTTTTGTAAAGTGGTGACTAGAAAATTTAGGACAGCACTGTCCTAGAGAAGTAAAACCCCAAATAACTACCCTCCCAAGTAGCTGGGACCACAGGTGCCCACCACAATGCTCAGCTGTTTTTGCTGTTTTTTAAAACAAACTTCCTATTATAATTTAAATAAACTATCACCTTAAGAGAAAGAGATAGTTTTCAAAGAAAGAGATAGTTTTCAAAGAAGCAAAAACAAACATGTACACTTGGCCAAGAAACAACTATCCTTAGTAATAATAAGAATAACAACAACACTTTCATACAGCACTTATGTGCCAGACATGGTTCAAACTATTATGTCTGTATCTTTATAGGGGGGGGAGGAAATGGGAGAGAGGAAAAGAGGGAGGGAGGGAGGGAGGGAGGGGGAGGGAGAAAGAAAGAAAGGAAGGAAGGAAAGAAAGAAGGAGAAAGAAAGAGGAAAGAAAAGAAAAGGAAGGAAAGGAAAGAAAAGAAAAGAGAAAAAGGAACGGGAATAAGGTCCCACGGGGCCTAGGGACTCTGTGTCAATCAGACAGGCAGGGTCATGTCACCCTGTTGCAAGCTCAATACTGGAAGAAGGTGGGTTACTAACAGAGTGAGAACCCAGAGTCTAATGAGTTTAAACACCTAAGAAAGGATACTTTCCTTTCTCTTCAAGGAAATTAAATATGGAATCTGTTTGTCTAAATTATCTATGAGTCTGCTTAATTAGAGCACTGACATTTTCCTGACTAACAGCCAAATATGTGCTTAAAACAGCATTTACAGATGTCTGTGGACTCCACAAAACTAATCTGACAAAGATCTGATTTAAATCCATCAGATTCAGAAAATGGATAGTTGTGATTGATATTTCATCTTTAATCTGATCACGTGGGAGAAAGCAGTATCATTTGAGTTTCTTACTCAGGCATCCGCCCCTCACTGTGAAAAGATTTTAGTATCTTCAGAAGAAGAAAAGGAAAATAAATACTGAAAGTGAAATCTGCAAGCCCTGTAATACTTCAGATAACGCCTTCACCAGGCTTGGATGGCTCCAGGCAGGTCTTCACTTGTACACTGATGCCATGCCACTGACATCTGGAAAGCCACAGACATCCATGCAGTGAACTCCCAAACCAACGCGGCACACCCAGCCTTGGCAGAGGACAGTGATTATGAAAGAGGTTTTAATCATTTCTTACTTGTATCTAAATGCCACCTATTGAACTTATCAAGAATCACAGGAGGACCCCTTTTACAGGCCACACCCCTTTTCTTTATGCACTCTGCAGCAACTTCCAACAAGCCCGTGTTGGCTCTGAAGTTTACTATTGCACTCGCCAAATTCAGTGACAAAGAAATGCCATCCAACTCTCTTCATGATGGCTTCAAGGTAGGTAGTATTGACAAGACACTGGTGTCACTCAACTCCCAGACAAAGACTGAGAAAGGCAGAGGGGTCAGGGGTTGAAGCTGACTAGCGCAGTGAGAGCAGAAGGGCATACGTTTGACTGTGCACCAAAAACTGAAACTTGTCAGGTCACACAACTCCTGTTTGAGTCTTGACATGTGTGTCACCCCAATTATATCCTGTCTTCTCTTGGCCCACCACACCCATGGTGTTTCCTGATTTTCAAGGCCTGTCCCCACCCTCCTTCCTTGGCACATGCACTTTCTTACCGAGACAGTGGACCCCGTCTCCTTGGTAGCCTTCTGAGCACTGGCAGACATAGCCACCATTGGTGTTGACGCACTGGGAGGATGGGGACGGGCACACTGGGACACCCAGCTCACATTCATCTATATCTGTGAGCAAAATTATAAACTGGTAAGATATTTTGGCAATCCTGGTATCCATGGGAATAGCAGGAAAGAATAAGTATAACTTGGTAATAGAGTCAATCATTCAGGCCTCTGTAGGGACTGTTTCCAAACGTAATGCATCTTGGATGTAACATTTACTCCTGAATCAACTTTCCCACCTGTCTGATTAGCTGAGTATGTGTAAATAAATCACTTTCTTACAGAGTTTCAGACTGTCAGGATTGAGAGCTTTCTTTCCAGTGCCCACTACTTTACAATTTTGAGGCTATCAGTAAACAAATATGAACCTTTCCATCACAATCTATTTATTTGACTAAAACTTATGACATAAGCTTTGGTGAGGGTGGAGAAGTTGTGTTTTTTTGGAATTACCGAATTCATAAATTTGACTTGAATTCAAATTCCTGTTTCTTCCCCTTAATGTCAACTGCACGTATTGTATATCTTAATATAAATTCATCGTAATATATATTTATTTATATCATATTTTCTATGCATATCATCCATTTTTTTAGCTAATATTAAGTAATGTATTCAAACCTGCTGATTATTACCTAAATCCTAGAGATTTTGAGTCAGTGAGAGCAGAGAGAATGTTTCTGGTTCACTATTTTCCAAATATGTGAAAATATTTGACCTTGATCTTACCAAAGCACAGTTTTCCATCCCCAGCAAATCCTTTCATACACTGACACGTGGCGTTCTCTCCCTGGGAAACACACCAAGCATGCGCGCTGCATCCCAGGGGAGCACAGTCATCTTGGTCTGCAAACAATGAGAACGCCACATGATTACTTCCAGATCTTAGAGAAGAAAAGGAACTCTAATATCTTGGAGTCTACCGAACAGTCCAGCATTTCTTTTCCCAAGTTCTGGGACAGGTTAATCTCCAAATAGAAATACTTTGTTGACCTATAAGCTGTATCTACGCTGAAAGATTCATAAGCCAGATGTCTGTTTACATGGTCTCGGCAAACTTTAAAGAACTATCTGATGTTTAAGGAGCCCTGTGTGCTTATAATTTTTTAAAAGCATTTAGAAATTTGAACAATAAAGTTCTACAACTAAATACATACATATTTCCAAACACTTATTGCTTATTTGAAAATTCTCAACCATTTTGATAAACAAAAGGGAATCCCTTCTTCCCTCCCTCTCTCCTTTCCTTCCTTCCTTCCTTCCTCCTGTCTTTCCTTATTTCTTTCTTTCCTTCTTTCTTGACAGAATCTCACTCTTTTACTAGAGTGCTATGGTGTCAGCCTAGCTCACAGCCACCTCCAACTACTGGGCTCAAACAATATTCTTGCCTCAGCTCCTCAAGTATCTGAGACTACAGGCACCCACCATGATGCCAGGCTAGTTTTTCTATTTTTAGGACAGGGTCTTGCTCTTGCTTAAGTTGGTCTCAAACTCCTGAGCTCAAGTGATCCTCCTCCCTTAGCCGCACAGAGTGCTAAGATTATGGGCATGAGTCTGGCCAGGAGTCTATTATTATCCCCCAAAGACACTAATAAGTACCAAGTAGAACTGTGTACCAACAGGGCAAGGAGATTCAATCATAAAAAGATTTACCATCAATTTACTAATAGCATATATAATAGCATATGTATGTCACGATGTTTTTATTATCAAGATTTATGCAGTGACTTGCAAACCTCAAGGCACTTTTACAAAGTCATGAATAATACAAGTTAATGCTGTAAATGGATTATTTCATTTCATACTCCATTGAAATGCAAATGCCCCAGGGGACAGAGTTTCATGTTGAGTCATAAACATGAGCAAGTTTATACCCCCCTTGCTATGACTACTTTTATACGTAATCATTGTCTAAAGGCCGCGCTCCCCAACCACACACACACACTTTCTTTGGAACTGAGGAAATCTGACATACCATGATCAGATATAAAACACCATCTGCCTATTTCTACTCACAGGTAAGTTTGCTCATCTGAGTAAAGAAAAGATAAAAGGAGTTTTCCAAACTTGCCCATAAGTTAAGGAAGGTGAAGTGATCTAAGCAGGATTCAGGTGCCCTGTGAATTCAGATATTGTGTGGTCGTGTCTGATTTGCTTAGCTACTTGAGTGAAAGGCCCCTCTGGTGAGAACACTTGCCCTTCATGTTTGCCTGGCTGTCTCCCATCACTCAGGACCCTCAGGGACAGGTAAGTTCAGACCAAGTCAATTACCCATTTGATTCAGTTTTAATGTGGAAGACTAACTCCCAAATCAAAAATCTGCTTAGAGTGTAGAGTACACAGTATCCAATTACTGAACACATTTTAAATCATTTGGAGAGTATCTTAAATTAGAACATGACTCCCTTGATTTGGAAACTTGCAAACCTCCAGGCAGCTGTGCGTGATGAACAGCAGTGGGTGTGCAGTTGTAGGGGGATGGGCTAGAGCCAAAGTCTTATTTATTTATTTACTTACTTATTTCTGTTATTATTTTTAGAGCCAATGTTCTTTCTGCCACAAACCAGCTCTGGAAGGAATGCCTGTGCTCACCTTCCTCTTCTCTAAAATACAGGTGACCATTTCTGCCAGGTCTATTTCCCATGATGGTTGTAAGTAATGGAAGAAAAGGTGTTTTTAAAAACAAATCCTTCAGGTAAGAATTGAAAAACAGTCTGGCCTAGTGGCAGCCCTGGTCTGACCCCTGTACTCCTAGGACTCTGGGAGGTTGAAGTGGGAGGATCTC